ATTTCACTTACTGAAGTTCTGTCAGGCTAAGCTTCTGTCTATTGGAAAGCATTACATGGGAGCTGTCTTTCCAGGCTGCCTGGGTCACTGTTAGTTTTTTGTTTTTGTTTTTAGACATAAAGGACATCTGTTTTTAGAATTGAAGCCTCTCATATAGTGTTGTGATGTGAAAACCATCTTTCTAAACAATTACAAGAATCATCTTCCCCTGTAAGTGGGCTGAGGCCATGAGGGACCTCGGCAGAACATTGGTGACTGGCTGTAAAGAGTGGAGTGAGTTGTGCTGATTTGCCTAAAAGATCCCACTACCTGTTCTGATTATGAAGAGCATTTTTCCTAGATGCAAATATGCTGTTTCACTGAGACTATTTCTGGAAGAGCTTGTTGCACACAAGGAAATAAGAGGAATTTGGAATGGAGCTTGTTTGGGCTTTCAAAGGATTCAGGGGTAGAAATGTGAATTATTCAGCTAGAGTCTTAACTTCCCTCTAAACCTATTTTCAAGAAAGGACCTTAAACTCATCAGATTAATTTTTGCCAAGATTTTCTATCACTGAAGATTGGTGATGAGGATGAGATTCCAGCAAAGAACGAGTATGGAACCAGACAATCTTTAAGATCCTTTCCAATTCTGAGATTTTTGTGCTTCCATACTGGGGAGGAAAATAGTCTTGGAACTGTTTACTCAGAGCTTAAATGCTGTCTCTTGTTTCAACTCAGTGATATATTTACTTCTTCTAATGTTCTTCATAGCAATATTATTTGTTTAATTTAGTCCTATTCAAAATTTCAAGAAAAGAGTTGGCTTTGAACAACAGAAAAATGTAATAGCTTGCCCTCCTTATCAACAAAGGGAAATTTCTTGTCTGAGTTGGTGGCCAGAAAAGAGATGGGTAGTTTTGCGGGGTGCAACAGAGACAGTGAGGGCCATTTAGTAAACAAAAGAGGATCCTTCCCTTCCTCAATGTGTGATGTTTCTGGCTGGCTGCTGGAAGAGAGTTTCTCAATGTCACTTCCATCCCTATGGCTCTACACATGTCAGGTTTTAAACTCAGTGCTCAGACTAGAAGAAAGATAGTAACTTGACCTGGCTCAATAAATCAGGAAATTAAATTAGCACTAGAATAACAATATGGTGAAAATAAGATTTGAGAAAGGATGCTACAAGTGAATTTAGAGCAGCCAGCTAGAGTGGTGTAGAGGTCATCCAACCCAGTAGTTGAAAAAGCAGTGTTGGTATTGTCAGGAAACCGAGGCTCTAGATCTGACTCTGCCACTGACTGGCTAGACACCCTGGGCAAAACATCTCTCACCTCTGGGACTTGGGTTCCTCATCTATAAATAAGGTTGTGGGCTTTTTTTTAAGTCACCTAATATTTATGTAGAGTTTCCTATATCCCAGGAGCTGAGGTGAGTGTTTTATAAGGCTCTCATTTGATTCTCAAAAGTCTTGGGCCTTGGGCACCTGGGTGGCTCAGTTCGTTAAGCAACTGCCTTTGGCTCAGGTCATGATCCTGGAGTCCCGGGATTGAGCCCCACATCGGGCTCCCTGCTTGGCAGGGAGTCTGCTTCCCTCTTTGACCCTCTTCCCTCTCGTGCTCTCTGTCTCTCATTCTCTCTCTCTCAAATAAATAAATAAAATCTTAAAAAAAAAAAGTCTTGGGCCTTGGAAACTCTCAAAGAGCATTGAGAGAGACAATACTTGAAGCAGCTTCTGCCATAGCCTTTGGCCTCCCCTCTCTCCATTAGATTCATAAAGCAGCTCTTCCCACTACTGTTTCTCCCTGCAGGTCAAGGGACTCAGGAAAGAACCTCCATGCAAAGATGGAAATTGTTTGGCCTGGAGAAAAGGCATTTGAGACATGACTTGGTAATCTTCTGTTTTCAGCTGGTAGAGATCTATTTCTGGGGCTGGTGGAGACAAGGTGATTGTAAAACTTAAAAAGACTAAGGGAATATATGGCCTGGCCTGAAGCTGGAAGGAACTACACTAAGTGATGAATGGAATGGAATGGCCCTGAGGTCTAGGGTCCAGAAGGAACTAGATACAGGGATCATGTTACCTCATAACCCAAAGCTTCATGGGCAGGGCTACTTTAAGGGTTCATCTGTCCAGAATGGTTTGGATCAAGTGTTCAGTGAGACATAGGAGTGCTTTAAAAGAGCTCTAAAATCCCCTCCAGCCCAGCCCTATGAGATAATAAGGACTTTTTGTTTTGTTTTTTTTAGTGAGGGGAGTAATAATTTAACATGACAGTCACATTAAGAGAAAAGATCTTGGTGGAAATTTTACTTGGGAAGGTATAAAATGTTAAATTAATTGATGAACTCTGGTATATAAAATGTCACTGAATCTTTTGATCTGGTTTCTACTTTGGTAGTCGGGGCAGAGACCTCATTGTCTTGGGAGTCAGGAAACCCATTTAATCCTGGCTCTACCTGTAGCCTCTTCATTGAAGAAATGCTAATAACAATCTCTGCTCTGCTTGTCCTAACAAGAATGTAGTGAGAATCAGATGAGCTACTGTATATTGGAAGTGTGTTGGAAAGAGTCAAATAGTTATCAAATATAAGATATTATACATTAGAAAAAGAGTTCATCTGTCAAAAAATAGGTGTAGCGTTAGAACCAATTGGTATTTTAGGAAAGGTTCATAATTCAAATGTTCTTTCATAATTATGTGCATGGATCGAGGTACAAGAAGGAGGAGGAAGAATTGAATGGTTGTTATATAGCTGAATCACCTTTCTATCACTTAGAAGTCAAAAATTAGACTCTAAGTTTGCTATATCAAGAAAAGAAGGCATAGAAATTAACTGTTAAGTCAATTTCCATGAAGCTTGAGCCAAGAAATCCACACAGAAACCAGAGAGCACAGGGCAGCTTTCTGGTCGACCAAGCTCATTTCAGGTTGTGCAAAAAGCTTGGAAGTCAAAAGAAAATGCCTAATATAAGATCATCTGAGCTTCTTGAGATTGAGAATAGAGTAATGTTTAACTATTCAGGGGTACAGAAGTATAGGGAAATAGTAATTGAAAAAAATTATATCTTGGTTTTCTATCTTTGCGGAAGCTGAGAAATGAAAATTATCTCATGGGCTGGGGTACTAGGCTTAATAGGTTGAATAATGCCCTTCCCGCAAAGATGTTCACAACCTAATCCTTGAAACCTAAGAATATGTTACCTTACATGGCAAAAGGGACTTTGCAGATGTGATTAAGCTAAGGGTCTTGAGATGGGAGATTGTCCTGTTATGTGGGTGGACCCAATGTCATCAAAGGTCTTTGTGGAAAAGGGGTAGGGAAGAGTCAGAGCCACGGAAGGAGATGTGGCAACAGAAGCAGAAGTCAGAGAGAGAGAGAGAGATTTGAAGATGTTCTCCTACTGGTTTTGAAGTTGGAAGAAGGGGCCAAGAATCAAGGAAGGCAGGTGGCCTCTAGAAGCTAGAAAAGGCAAGGAAATGGATTCTCTTCTACCATCTCCAAAGCAACACAGGATTGCCTGACCCATTATAGATTTCTGACCTCTAGAACTGTAAGGTAATAAATTTATATTGGTTTAATCCATTTTGTTATAATTTTTTTAGGAATAGGAATTCAATAGGAAAGTAGCAAATAGGAAAGTAAAGGCAGGTAATTTCAGCCTGTGAAATTCTCTGCTAAATTTGACCACTGTAAGTTGAGGAAGGGCAAAGAAACAAAACAAAAGAAAATGGTAAAACATGTCTAAAAATGATACTGAAGATCATTTGTTAATATAAATCCCTAGTTTCTTTGATTCCATGGCTACTGCTATGGTTGTGAATGGTAGTCACTGGCTTCTTTGTACTTACCCTTTGCTTCCTTGCTATGAACACGCACACACATAACTTAAAGCAGAAAAAGAAAAGTTCCATAGGAGATGTGCCTCGACTCCCACTATAACTCCCTGCCTTTCCCCACTGATGTCTCTTTACAGGAGTCCCTCATTTCCCTATAGACCCCTCTACTCTCCCCGTCTCCTATTTCCCCCACCATCACAGGGCTTCTTGATCTTCTTTGAGGCAACTGTTTCCCAGACGCTAGGCTATTCTGAGGCAGAGGTTGTGAAGGAAAAACCTTAGGAATTCCATGGCAGGTAATGCTCACTGACGCCTGTCAAGAACAGCCTCTGGTTTACTGCAGGGTCTGTGTGGTGGGAGAATTTGGAACCAAGATGTTGCTCAAAGAGCTGCAAAGTGGCTTCGAGCTTGTGTGTGGCTCTATCCCTGCACAGGAAGGAAAGCTGAAGGCCTAGCAGAACGAGGCTGTTTAGCTTAATTTATGTCAACAGGGTGGGCCACTTTTTTCAATGTGTCTGTGGTGGTAAGGGAGAATGGCATTAACTCTTTGAAAGCCATGGAAAGAATATGAAGTACTATGCTGTGGCATTCAGCTAGGAAGACCCAGCTCTCAGCGTCCTGCCTGGACAGAGCCTAGCAGGACGCAGGAGGCTGTGATTGGCTGAGACAGAACTGACCCAAAGATCAGATATGACAGATGTGACCACTAGGCCATTTCTCTACAGTGATAAAACCTCCGGTTAAGTCTGCCGAAGATAAGCATTAAATGGTTCTAGGCACCATTAGGATAGAATATCTGATCAGAATTTTCATACAGAAAGATGGTATCAGTAGGACACTCCAGAGGTTTGAGTTATGTAGGCACAGCATGAATTGTCCAAATGAGTTCATAGTCACTCTGGTCTCTCCTTTCCTCCTTCCCCCAACACACAACATTATTACAGAAAAATTACACGTAGAAACTAGAAGTTTCTGAAAGCATTCTGCTTTCTCCTTGGGGTTTTTCCTACATTTCAAAGAGAAAGGGGTTCACCCCATTGTACCCCACAGTTGTTCTCTCCCCTCATTCTCTCCCAAGAAGTATCTGCCTTCTGGGGATAAAGTATTTCCAAATATGACTCCTTCAGCTTGGGCTTTACAGACTATAACCTTAAACTTGGAAAGAACAGAAACACGTACATGCTCGGATGTGAAGGCAATGAGCCTGGGAACAGCAGCCATTCCTTTTTCCTTGACTTCTGGGAACATCTTAAAGCGTGCAATCAGCATGGCATACATGTTAGATATAGCGCCACCTAAAGAAAGTAACAGCAACACACAGTGACCTTTTCTAGTCATTATCAACATCATTTCACATGCAAGCAACATTCCTTATTTCCATTGACCTAGAATCCTCCTTAGACATGGGAGAAGGGCATATTTATTGGTTATCCTTTGACTTGAATCCTCAAACTCAGACTGAATCCTCAGCCTAAGAGGGTCTACAAAAAGGAGCACTGGGCCCAACCATAGGGCATATGCTACCCCTTCACATCCCAAATCTGCAACTAAATAGAACTGCCAATTGATTCTGCTCTTGCTGGGAGTCCTTTGAAGAGGTTCTTAAGAACTGAGAAATTGTTGCCTTCCTTCCCACCATGCAAACGTGGTCATTCTTCATTAGGCCTGTGGAAATCCTACTTATCTCCTGATGGAGAACACATTTCTTTTCATTTCAACTCAGGCAATGCCTTGCACTCACCCTAAGACAAATCCGTTGTAGCTATTGGTGTGGACTGTTAATCCACAATTCTCATAGAATGAGGATAAACATCCAAGCCCATTTCATCATACTCATCTGTGAATTTCCCCAGAACAGTTCTTCCCCCTCAAAGACTTCATAGAAATACAATTGTAATAGCTGAACAAAAAACTTATTTCATAATGATAGGAAGACACAAAACTAAGGGAATTTTAAGTCTATGTTGATTTGCTTTTCCTGTGTCATTCTAAGATTGTCAAGGATTTCATACCATAATATTTGTATCTTATAAGTAAGGTCTCATTTGACAAGCAAAGAAAAGTGAGCTTTCCCCCAAGATTGTTGGAAAGCTCAGGATTTTTGCAATACGAGAAGACAGATTGTTGTGCATGCATATGGGGATGTTGGCATGGAAGCTGTGACGTCATGCGGCAGAGTGAAGCCACTATCTCCTCCTTTCCCATAGGGGACACACTGGGCTCTGCCATGTTGTGAATGCTTTGAGTTCCCTTCCCTTTGGGTGGCTGAGGAGCAGAGGGCTCTTTGTACTAAACTGAATGGCCCCCACAGGGCCATGACTTTTGCCTCATGCTCCCTGGGCTCTGATGCAAGCAAGCAGCCTGGCCCAGAGCAGTAAGTATCCAGATCCTGGTTCTGTCATCAATCTGAATAAGGGCAATTGCTACCTCTTCTGACCCCCAGAGACATGGGGCAAGAGGAATCCAGGTCAGGCCTGCTCTGAGCAGACAACTTGTCTAAAAGGGCTGAGGGTGTAGGATGCTGCTGGGCAAAGGATCAGCTTTTAAAGGAACTTCCACTCCAATGTATGGTTTTTCAATCTTGGCACTCAGTAACATTTGGGACTGGAGAACTCCTTGTGGTGGGGGTTGTCCTGTGCACTGTAGGGTGTTTAGCAGCATCCCTGGCTGTTATCCACCAGAAGCTACTAGTACTACCTGCCCCCCTCTCCCCTGCCACCAAGTTGTGACAATCAAGAACCTCTCCATTCATTGCCAAATGTCCCCTGGGGGTTACAATAGCCCCCAGCGGAGAAGCACTGCCCTAGGTGTTCTTGTCAGAGAGGCTGGGGAGAAAGGAGGCCAGGAGAAAAAGGGGAAGATGAACACAAAGATATCATCAAGAAGCTTCCAGCTCTACCTTGCCACTTCTCATTTTGCCACTCCAGTTATTCTCTGTCTAAAGATCTAGTAGCCCTGAGAGAGATGAAGAGGATTCTGGATCGTTAGACAGAGCAGACTGTTGTGCAACCCAGGCAGGAAGACAGATGCATCTTCCAGAGGAAGGATGCAAAACCGAGCTCTGAATCATCAGGAAAATCCTGTTAGATAGGAAAAGCTTTGTGACTAAGCCAAAATTTCCCTTTCTTCTCTTTTGGTCCTTCATGACTTGCTGAGCAGTGAGGAATACTCCAGTTCTCTTTGGCTCCCAGGCACAGGTGACATCACATGAACAGATTTCTTCTAGAAGTCCCAGAGAAGTTCCCATGAAGCATGAAGCCTCTGGATGCTATAGATGGAGGGGTAAGGTAAACTGAGCTGAGCTATATATTCAAGTCACAGACCTAACTCTCCATGTTTAGTCCTGGGCAATAGGACTTTCAGATCTCAGGCACATACGATGTACGATTTCCCCATCCCCACTCCTTAAATTGTAAGACCCTATACCCCAGGAATAAGGACAGATGCTACCTGGAAAGGCATCCATTTGCAAGTGAGGTTGCTATAATCCACCTCTCCTTTGTAATGCCTTGTAGAAAGCAGAGCAGAAACAGGTTGCCAATGGCCTTTTCTTCTGTCCCCTCCCCACTTTGCGATGTCTACATTATACTTAGCATGACATCAGTGGCTTCCATCTTGGTGTGAGAGCATACAGATCTTTAGGATCCAAGGAAGGAGCCCCATGATCAAGGTTAAGTCTTTCTACCCGATCATTTTCTGTCATTGTTGGGGGTGTCCCCATACTTGGTTAGCAGAACTGCCAAAGAAGGTTCTTTCTCTGGGTGTATATTTTCTGGGGCAAGTGGTTTCCAAGAGCAACTAAATTAGGCCTGGCCCAAGCCCTCTCAACCAAGTTTTCAGGGTCAACAGGAGCAACTGTTCTCTTCCCACTCCTGGGGACCATTAAAAGAGAGCTCAGGATGCTCAATCACATAACCAACCTTGTAAGAGGGAGAGGAATAGAGGTAAAAACAACACTGATCTTTGAACACTACCTAATTCCTCATGAAAATTACCTTAAGAGCATCAGTTCCAGGCAATGATGACAAAGTTCCCTCAGTGGGGAATGGTTTTCCAAAGGAAAACTACATTCCCTACAAAATAAAGGCTAGCTTTAAATTCATCACAGCTGGTGTTTAACCAAAAAAAAAAAAAAAAAAAAAAAAGCTAATTTTCCCTTCCATTTAACTAACATGTTTTCCTTCAGCACCTGAAAAATTGTGTTGTATCTTTAAAAGCATAAAATATAATAGCAGATCTGAGCTTATAGGTAAAGCTCCTTAATTAAGCCCTACCCTTAAGGCCACTGTTGTTTGCTTGTAATTTCTTCTTTCAACCTGTTCTTTATTTTCCCTCTCCCTCATCATCTGCTTGTCTCTGTAGGTTTGCTGAAGGGACATCTCGACGTGGCCTTTCCTAGGCTTGACATAATGGCAGGTGTGGCTGTGGCCTCCCCAGCAGGGCCAGTCTCAGTGTACTGAGCACCCACCCCATTCTGATGACCCTCTCCTGCCACTGATTAGGTGACAGTCTGCACACCAGGTTTATTTTCCATGGGTCAGTGACTCTCTCTCCCTACTGCCTTTCTAACTTCTATTTCTTCTCTGCGTCAAAACCAAGGTCACATACAGATCGGGAACCAAGGGCAAGGCTTTTTTTGTGTCAGGTTGATTCTCTTGGCTGGAAGAGGTGTAAATAATGGAGCTTAGAATCCAATGGCTGGTGATAAAAGGCAGGATGAAGAGACTGAATGGCATGATAAAGAAGAGAAGGCAAAAGAAACCTTTGGAAGGAATCAGTACCCTCTGTTTCAGCTTCAAGAAATGGTTTCCCAAGTCACTCTCTGCCCTCCTTGAAATTAAAGTCCATCGGCTTCTCTGTTGTTATTGGAAAGGGACAGAGTACGTAGGCTCGATTACGTATATCTGCCTCATAATGCCTCCTCAAACAGAGAAGGCTTTATTAAATGAGGCTACCCTTTCCCTAATTGTGGGAAGAGTTTCAGAGAGTGAATTCCCTTCTGAGGAATCTTTATTCCTGTGTTCCACGTGATCCATACATCTTCTGTGTAGGATCACAGTAGAAAGGTTGGGTAAATATCCACCCCTGTTTACCCTCTTTCTGAACACCAATAACTCTTGGTCAAGTATGGGGAGTTGACTTCGAAGCATGGTCAATGGTCATGTATTATCATGCTCATTCTTTTGATCAACATAACCTATTTAACATAAGCAGAAATACCGACTAGATATTGAATCGCTCCTATGTTCATAATGAGGCACTGCGTATCAGAAGAAAAAACACAAAGAAAGGTTGAAATATCATATACCAGGAGAAAATATCCCATCGCCAGAGCCCCCTGGCCAGCCAATGATTTCTCTCATTTTCTTTAGCGTGACATATTCCAAGAGCACAAATACTGGAGCAATTTCATAGGTGAACCTGAAATGTAGTAATGGCCACATTTTATGTATGTAACTCGAAGAAATAATTCATCATTATAACATCTATAGAACCATTGTATGTCCCTCTTCAAGCCCTACATTCACAAAGGTTTTGATTATAGTATTGAGCAGAGAGAAAATTAGGTCTTCTTAAAGGTTGCCCATTTTTCTATATTCCTAAAATTAAGAGCTTAATGCCCAAGGGTTATTTATCATATTGAATAAATAACACTGCAGAATACTACTATTTAAAAGATATCATCTGGTCCCATTTCTCGTTCACTTTATACATAATTATAAATCCAAAATGCCAAAAAAGTGCCTTTTGTGTTCGAAAAATGTTATATAACTTTGATTGCATGAAAGATAGATCAGGACTCTTTTCTTTTAAGTTAGAGTGAACACCCATACACTTCTGAAGTTTGTATCACTATGTTAGGGGCTACTTAAAAAGAGATTTTCACATGAGAGGTAGAATAAAGACTATGAAATCTCACTAATAATTATCCTGGATTAAAAAAAAAAACCCCACCACATTTAACGACTTACATGTTGGTGTTTGCTGTTGATGTCAGCCAGTCTGCTGCTAATCCAACCATATCCAGTCCCGTGGAAAGTTGATTGAAATATCTCGGATGCCCTGAATAAAATGGAATACCAGAATCAAGACTACATCCAGTGAAAATAAATGCCTCTCAAACACATGATTGCTCTAGCTAAAGAACCTTGAAAGATCCTTGAGTAGTAGGAAATCCATATTCAGAAACCCAACGTGTGCATGTGTGCGTGTGTGCATGCAGACGCACCCAAAAGGAGCATTTCATCTGACAAGAGAGACTATTTGGGGTTTTGGTATTTCTTAAAGCACACTCTAAAAAAGCTTCCTCTAAACATTATCCGATATAAAAAAAAAAACAAACAAAAAAAACCACGTGTGGTTTGCAATGTGGATGCTAGTTTATTTCCTAGCATCCCTTCAATACATTTGCAAACTAAAATGCTCGTGTAATCCAAAGCTATTCTTGTTTACACTCATGCTGCTAAAAATCCTTTTTTGTTGAAGTTGTTCTGGGAATCAGTCATATCATGACATCCACCAGGCATGCCAACATTCATAATGATATCAGTGACAAATGACTGATGATTACAAAAGACAACGCAAAAATGAGAAAATAGGACACTTCTTTGAGTGATTTGCCCTGGATTCAAAAGGTGATCGTCTAAAGAGGGCATGGGCAAGTTCAATTCTTGTCGATTCTTTTCTGTCCAAATACTTGATTATAAACAACAGAACTCCTCATAGTTGTGATTTACAGTAAAGAGGGATACGGTCAACATCACTGCCCCATCAACAAGATACATGAAGATATTTTCAGTGGGCTGATGAGTCCATTAGCAAGGCTTATCTAATTAACTTCTAGATTTCTCTAAAACTCTCTAAAGGAGTTGACATCCAAATACTCCTGAGGCTATTATTTAAAATGTGATTGTAAATATCTCATTAGAATTCCATTCCTTGTCTTGCCCCATAAAAGCCAATCTCTAAATCTGTGATTTGCTTGGCAGCAAAAATTTTGGAACATTATCCATTATGGAAATAGCATCTGATAAAAAGGCGGCCCCCACTTATTGGACACCTGTCTGAAGCCCGGGGGGACGGTCTCTCAGGCCAGCACAGGCCGAACAAGATAAAGGAAGGCAATGGGGAAAACAGGGACAAAACTCAACACAGAGCTTACCTCTGGGACTGGAGCGCTCTCTTATCAGCCTCGGGCACGTGGCTAGACATTTACACGCCGAGAAAAGATAGGAGCTGGGAAAGGGCACATTTCAAAGAGACTGGGATTTGTGCGGCTCTTGCTCATGCTCTGGCAGTGTTTTGCTTCCCTGTGGCTGTGCACAGTGCCCTTCTACCTTTTTGCTCTCTACCAGGCCCCCTGATGCTGACCCTGTCAGTTTATGCATCCAGGCAAAGTGAGAAAGCCCCTTTGCTGCTGCCGCCTGGGCCACGGTCTGGAACAGCCCTCCCCCCGTCTCTGCCTCATTGACTCCCCATTTCATTAGAGCTCACAGCTGAAATCACAGCCGCCTCTCCCTCCTGATGCCCTTTCATTTCTCTTTCCCTAAGCCATTTCCTTAAAGGGAGGAAATTAATAAAGATTAGCAAATCAATCCATTAATCTACTCTCCCAATTCATATGCATTTTCTGGACGAATCTGGTGTCTATTATCACACACTATTTTACTCTCTGGAAACTTTGGCATGAAAAACCTCTGCAAAAAAAAAAAAACTGAGAGAAATTCCAAGGCCTGTGTCCGGCCCCAGGATATCAAAAGGCCAATTCACCCTGCCGACTGCCTTTGGAAAACTGGGAAGCAAATTTGAGGCTTCAATGGCTTGACTCGCTTTTCTATTTTTTTTTTTTTTACCTTGTTCGCCCATGGCACCTGAATCTCTCGTGCCTCAAAATTTTCATTCACTGATGGTGATGTGATAAAAATGGAAGGAAGTAGTTTGACAGGTTAGAGCAACATGTCCTCTTAATTTTTGCAGAAGTGCGCTGCAGAAATATTCTATTTGCTCCCTTCCCGTGACCCCCCCCCCCCAGGCTGCCGGCGAATCCAGGCAAGGCTCTTCGAGAGAAAGGGTGGGAGAGACCTGCGTTGGAGGCTCCCAGCTGTCCCAGCCGGCCTGGGCATCCAGCTGCCGCCGCCACCCCCACCGGGCTCGGGAATAAGCGGCCACGCGCAGCCGGGCAGACAGCGAGGAGGAAACGTGAGATTAGAGCCGCTCGCGCCTCTGGAACGCTTCCCACTGATTAGCAAATGAGCCAGGAAGGATGCGCAGGCTTGGCCAACGACCAGCCCCGGGCGGCCCTGACCCCCTTGTCCACCATCAGTTGGGGAGGGCCCCAAAGTCGGTCCAAACTGCTCTCCGTGTCCCCGCAGCACGCACCCAAGGACGGTCTCATTTATCGATGCTTCCATTTCTTTGTCTGATGGCTCCGTTAAAAGACTCAAGACAACATTAACCCCTGCACTCCCCAAACACCACCACTACCACCAAGTCCAATGATCCCCGAAAATGTTATTTATTCTAAAATTCTATCATTCTCTGCAGTTTTCAGTTTTCCGTTCCAACAGTTCTTACAGACGTAATTTTAACAATACAGGACGACTTCCACTTGCAAGTATTTAACCCACTGCCCCTCACTCCTCTCTAAGCTTGGAGCCCAAGTGAAAATTAGATTAAGGACTCTCAGTAGAAAGCAGGTGCTAACATATTTTATAAAAGCATCTCCCTAGGAGAACTAAAATGCTTAATGGTCACAGAGATGGTAACTACTTTACAGACCCTAAATAGTACGAGTTGTCAAATACCAGTTACAGCATAAAAACCTGTAAACTTGCTAGTCAAAAAGAGGTGACTTGGTGTTACTTCTTTGAACTGCTATTTGGGGGTGGAATGGGGAAGACCGGAAGACTACATGTGTTATGAATAATATTGATATTGATGCTTAGAAATCCAACGTAATCTTCTTTTCCCCTGAACTTCAAATAAAATGCATTAGAACTACATGTGACCAGCAATCTCACAAGCATTATGGCGAAATCTAAGAATTGCATTGCCCCATCTTCTCCAAACACTAAAGGAAGCATTGATAGACGGAACTATGACTTTCATTGACTTGCAATTCTCATTATCTTAACTCTTTAAATTACATGTCAGACATCACCAGCTTTTAAGGATGAAGATGTAAAACATTTTTATAGGTTCTTTTCAGTTTGGTAGCAGTAAAAATAATGGGTAGCAACCTACTATGATCATATTTAAATATTAGGTTAGGGGAATGGATCAAAGAAAAATGAATTAAAAACACTGTTCAGGTTTGCCTCCACAGATACATCAAAAGCTGGAAGAACATCTTTAATGCCTAGTATATACATCATATAGATTCTCTGTGAACATGACTGACAATGATAGCTAATAAGCCTTCAAAATTCATATTCTACAGGCCAAGTGTGGTCGAAATCACCAAGTTAAACTCCTTTCCCTATGTACCTAATTTTAAGTCTATAGTCTCACAAAAGTGGATACTAATAATGCAGCAGATCCATTTCCTAGGCTTCTTCTCTGCACACTTTTCCTCTCTGTTGGTATAACGAATGGAAAAACAAAACCAAAAAAAGTAGCTAAAAGTCACACAGCAAACATTCTTAAAATGCTTTTTGTTGATTAGAGCAATATGATAATTCATTAACCAAAGAAATGGCAACATAAAAAATCAAGTTCCTATGGTAATTAATATTCATGTGACATTTTTATTTGCTAGCAGATCTTTAAGGCTACAAATCAATGTAGAGCCACAAGGTCTTCTATCCCTCATGAAATTCATTCATACTTATTTTTATTGCTTTAATGAAGTGTAGTGGCATCATGCATCAGCATGATTAGAGACAATGCAGGAAAAGAAGGGGTAATCATGACCTGGGGAGATAAATGGCTGATTTTGTGTGGGTAAAATGAAAACTTAGAATGTGCCCAAATAAATGTTACTGTAAAACAGATAGCGTATGAAGACTACTGTGAAAAAAAGCAATAAATACAAAATACATTTTAAAATAAGGATATTTGATTCCCCTCCCCCACCCATTTTCTTTATTTTATTTTCAGAATGGCTATGAAGCACACACATCCTGTATATAACACCGCTGAATTGTTAAGCTAGTTTGTATTGTGTTTTCTTTTGTGGACATTTCTTTAAAAAAAGAGAAAACCTGGGGTTCGAATCTGAAGTCCTGGCCATTTGAGACAATGCCAAAATATTATCTCTCTGTTGCGATGATTACATAGGATGGTTTATCCAATGTCTGACCATTCCTATGCCAAAGAAATGACTAGCACTACACTAGTCTTGGGCTTTTGTTTGGATCATGCCTTTTGAGCTTTCATTTCCATATTCCCTTCCTTTCTCCATTTTGGGTCACTTTTACTGGCTTCTGCTGACAAATGGTTGCTTCTACATCAGTGGTTAATCTCCGTGGCCAAATACGAGCAATGTAAAATCTGATGATTTATACTTAATGCGTTTATAATGTTTCTGATATCAACTTCAGAAGCATGAGCATTAATAGTAAAGGGTGCCTTTGCTTCACATGATTCTAATAATGACTTTTTTAAATTGATGAAAATAACTGTAAATTTGAAAATACCAGTAACTCCATAAACAGAAAACATTTTTATATAAAAAATAAAAATTGTAAAAGGAAAAAAGAGCTTTATTATTTTTGACTGGACAATACCTGTTTTAATTGCATACTTCAGAGTCGTTTGACAATGCATCAAAATTTCCTCCAAATTTTGTGGTTGGTCTGCCAATTCCCAGTTATACTCTTGAAGGAGCTCATTAGGGTAATGGAAATCAATCACTTTGGTTGATCTATCGAAACTTTTCACCACATACTGAAGCAAAATGTCCATAACATCTTGCAGAAACGCCAAAGTGGGCCTTTCTCCATCACACGCTGGCAGCAGGTCTAAAGAATGGAATCAAAATGCCACATTTTAATTTTACTGTGGAAATATCCAGGCAAGATCTTGATGTGGCAATTTCTCTTTGGACTGAGAGATTTTGTGCTAAAAAAAAAAAATCTGGAAACGCAGAGCATTTTCTTTAAATGGGAGGTATTTTTTAAAGAAGAAGGAGAAAGAGAAATTGCGGTTTCTCCCCCACCCCAAGTTAATTCTTGCATTTCAATCCATAAGGTATTGTTTGCTTTCTTTTTAAAAAGGAGTGTGCTCCATTCATCTGTTTCACCGAGGTCCGTCCTAAATGTTGTATCTCAGTAAATCATCTTAAATGATTATGGAAATACGTCATATCGGAATGTTTGAGGAATGCCTTTGGGCAAATCAGGCAAAGTGGAGCATGCAGTGTTAGGCTCTCTGACCCATTAAGATGGCTTGCTATTTCCTAGGTCAGTGTGTGTGTGTGTGTGTGTGTGTGCGCGTGTGTGTGTGTGCGCGCGCGCGCGCTCATTTAGGTGATTGGGTGTGTAAACACAAGGGAGTAAAACCGCCCGCAGGTCTCACGTGAATAGAATAGTTCCCCTGTGAAACTGCCCCTATGAATTACTCTTGCGATCTAAAGACCTAGAAAGTCTCATCAACCAAGTCCCACCCGTCTCAGCGGCCATCAAGAAGCCGACCTCGAGGTCCAGCGCGCGCGGGGACCTCCGCCAACCGCAGACCTGGGGGCGGCACTGGGGCAAGAGCGCCGCGGCCCTAGAGTTCCCTTGGAATGCCCGCGCGCAGCGCTGCGCAGAGGCCGGGGTTGGGGCTCAGACGGAAGGGACAGGCCCAGTGTTTCTGGCTTTCAGCTGAAGATTCACGTAAGGTCCGCCTCCGCCCTGCTTCTTCACGACTCGGGTCAGGCCCCTGTCATCGAGTCCCTTCTGGTCGCGGTGGGTGGGACAGTGCGAGGGACAGTGGCTCCCGGGGACCCCACGGGGAGCCTTTACCTGTTGCATGTAGAAACGCATAGTTGATATCCGCTTTGGGGCAGCTGCAAGGCTTCTGATTACAAGCGCAGGCGGCCTTCCGGGAGGTGGCCCGCGGGGGCTCGCTCCCGCCACTCTCCGCCGGCTTCTCGGCGTCTCCGTAGAGCAGGGCTAGGCAAGCACATCGAGAGCGCTGGTCAGCCGCCCGCCGGTCCCAGCTCCCTCGCGCCTGCCCATCCCCGGCCAAGCAACTGAGCTCAACTCCGCTGTTGGGGATGCGGAGGTGAGAAGGTGACACTGCCCCCGCGGGACACAGAGGCGACTGACTGGCCGTGTTCGACTCCCTCCCCCGGCACGGGCTGGGCACTCACCGCACAGCTTGTTTCCGATGCCTCCCGTGAACTTCTGGGCCACCTGACACCAGGCTCTCGCTGCAAGGAAAGAGAGGGAGGAGGACAGCGAGGCAGAAAGAGAAAGCAGACGACGTGTGAAATTCCGTTCTACGGGAACAAACGCAGTAAACCCGGGGTCCTGAAGGAGGCCGCCCTGGGCTCCGCACGGAGGACAGGTGCAGGAGGGGCGCGGGAGCCCGGCGGCCCGGCCCAGCCCGACCTTACGTTCTCTGATTTCTTTCCAAGAGCTCAGACTCCAGCCCTTTGCACTTGCCTTCCAGGTGCCAGTAGGTTCAGGCAAACTCCCCTTCCTGCCTTGCTCCGGCGAGTTTTCCTAGATACCGAAGCTGTCCATTTTCCTCGCAGCCTCTCCTTCCAGACCAAGAATTCTATCTCTTCCATTTTTTTCCCTTTCCCCACAGCCACTCTATCCCTCTACAGGGTCCAGACACCAAGATGGTGGCATTGCCCCAGGCCCACGGAATTCGGTGTCGAGGAGACGCCTCTGTGTTTGGGGGGGCTCTCCCAGACTTCATTGAAAAAGGTCTGAGATTCTTTGGGTGTCTTTCCAAGGGATAAGGGCCTGTGAGGTTTTGGTCTCTTGGGCCATCAGGGACCTACAGCGAGAGAGCAGGGCGAAGTGTCCGAAGTTTCCTGTTGCAGGTGGAAAAACCTCCTTCGTCTTCCTTAGCACTGCAAACCCCAGTCCACCCGCAAAGCTCGCCTGCTGCAGGCCCCTCATCCCCTACCTGTGCCGGGGTTCTCGGGATCCCCGGAGCCATCTTCAGACCCGAAGGACCAAAAGCCTGAGCCTGGAGATGCCATCAGCGCTGTGAGACTGGAGCGGGTCGCCTCCGAGTGCGAACTGTCGGCAAGCTGCCTCCGCTCGGCTCTGCGCGCGCCTGCGTGCGTGTGTGAGTGTGGCGGGAGGAGGGCACCGCGCGGGGACCGCGCGGCCGTGCGGCAGAGGGTGGGTGTCACACAGCGACAGGAAACGTGCGTGTCTGCGTGTGAATGCGTGTGTGTGTTGGGGTTAGGGCTTAGAGACGTGGCAACTCTCTCAGAAGGCTGAGGTTAAATAGGGAAGGAGACCGAAGGGTCCGCGGAGCAGGGGTATGGGAAAGCGCCGAGCACCCGAACTGCTTTTGAAGGAGAAGGAGTCCAATCCGGATGGATGAGGGGGCGGCGGAGAGAAAACATGGGAGAGGGAGGATGCGAGGCAGACAGCGCTCACGAGCTGGAGTCAGAGCGCGTGGGTGGGAGGCGTGCAGGGGACCCCCGGGGAGCGCTAGCCGGTAGCCCGCAAACAGCCCCCGCGGGCCGGGGTGCGCTGCCTCGAGTGCTAACTGCGCGCCGGCTGCTGACTGCGCGCCGGCTTCACCGAGGGGTAGACCCGAGAGACCTTGGCGAGGCGGAGCCGGTGGCCGGAACGGGTCTCATACAGGCATCGATTGGCGTATTGTTTGAGGTCTGGCTCCTGCTGCCGGGAAGGCGGCGCGAAATCGCGCCGCCTTCCTCCAAGACGGTGCTGAGGTCGCTGTGACCTCGAAAGCCCCGGCGGCTGGGCTGGAATCACGAGCGGTTCGTGAGCTTGGGGAGGGGACGGTGGGGGCAGGGCGCCTACGCGCTGAAGGGCTCATTTCAGCTCCTTAGTAGAGCCTGACGCCTTCCTACTGAGCCGCGCGGTGCTCGGGAGCGCGTCATTACTGTGCTTCGGAGAGCGCGGTCGCTGAATCCACCGTCCAGGATCTGACTGACGGCTGGGAGAAAGACTGCTGATTGAGGCAATTAAAATCCATGAAGGAGCCTATCACCGAGGACCTCGGGGTGGGGAAAAAAAAAATAAAACGAATGGAAACTTCTTGGGCGGGGGGAGGCGAGGGAGAGCAACTAGAATCAGCAGGCAGGATTGACGGCTCAGGGGGCATGGGATCGGGTCATTTAGCGACCTTGGCCCGCGGAGGCGTGGAAGGGTTTGCTGCTTTCGCGTGACCTGAATCGATGTGTGCGTGGGAGGCGTGCACAGAGTTTCCAGCTAAGCAATCCGAGCTTTCCAAATTCAAGGCGGAAAGAAGGCATCGGCTGCTGGGCCCCTCGAGTCAGTGGGCCGCAAATCAATGATCTCCTGACCCCCCTCCCCCCGAAAATCTTCACGATAGCGGGAGGAGGGTGGTGGAGCCTGAGAGAATCACTATTTCTGAGGCCCTGTGGGAAGGGGTTTCTTCTTTTCTGAGAAAGTCAGAATCTCTACTCTCTTACAATATCCTGTACGTTAAAAGCTGTTAAACAAAGGGAACACGCCCTGAGATTTTCGAGCCGGGTTGAGTTCGCGTTGCTTTCCCTTGGTAGCGGAGATCAGCGTCACGTACACCTTGCGGCTCCTGGGCTCTCGGAGAGAGAGGCTGAGGAAGACCCTGGTGGGGAAAGACTGCGTCTTGCCTTCCGCCACGTGCATTCCCTTGAGCGAGCGTTTTTCATTTCCACTCTGTTCACAAGCCCTTATTTCTTTGCCCTCCTGAATCAAGTCACCAAAGCTGCTGCCAAAGCAGAGACCCACGGATCTTCAGTCTTGGCCACCGCCCCTGGATCCTCGCTTAGGAAGGGCGTCGTGGGGCCTCGGTGGCCGCATTCAAGCCCAAGTCCTATGTCCCCAGGCACGCGGGGGCCTGGTAAAGTCTCTCCACGAAGCTTTGTCTTCTTACGTGCCCGAGCCGGGAGTCTTGTTGGGGAAGGGCGCTGGCCAAGGTCCTGCCGAAGACTTTGTGCAAAGCCGGCAGCGTCGAGAAGCCTGCATAGGGCTGCGGGCGCTTGGTGGACATGGACCCAGGCCTCAGTGTAGCCACCTTCTCCGGCGCTCTTGGCTTCAGGGGACCCAGGTTTACAACGCCAGGGTGTAAAGACTTCGTGGCTGGGCCGTCTGCGCGCGGGCAGGGCAGCTCCGCCGCTCTTGCTCCCGCAGTGCAGATGCGAGTCGGAGAGATCAGTTCTTTGTTTAAATCCACCGCAAATCCTGCTAAATGTTTTGCTTCAACCCAGCAGGCTGGGGTTGCAGAACTTTTCTGCAATGAGTAAGTAAGTGGTCGAAGACATAAAGATTCTTTAAAACGAGCGTTTAAAACACACTCACAAATCCCCGAAGGAAGAAACAGATTAAAACACAGGGAAGGTAGAAACCACACACCTGGATTTAACAGTTTTTTTAAACGCGACTTAAAAATCCCACTGTTTAAACTCGATTAAATCCGGCAGCTCTGGAGTACTTTGAATCTAATGGTGGTATTTACATTTTTTATTTAACACACCCTACTTCACAGCACTCAGGGATCTGATTTGTCTTTCCTTAACGTGGTCCCTCCCTAGATGGCAATTTGCTTTATAAAGACTTTGATTTGGAAAAAGAGCCCACTCCCCCCACTCCTGGGCTTGGCGTTGAAGGTAACAAAAGAGCTCAGGGCGGTAATAATTACAGTCATTAGTTCACAAAGGAGGCAGCCACCAAATGGGAAGGGGAGGTGGACCAGCGCTCTGGGGATAAGCTTTGGTTGCCTCTTCCTCAATAGGGGGAGGGAGAGACCCATGCTCCAGGGGCTGCTCTCTTGGGCGGGTTTCCTGGGTTGACCTATTTCTTGTCTGTGGATTATCCAAAGATCTCATTGCAGGTCTCCCAAAGAAGGTCTGCCAAGAGTTTTCCCTTGTGCCTTCCCAGTGTTCAAATGTCGAAGGACAGAAAGAGGGAGATGGAAAGAGGGAGAGAAAACAAAGAAATACAAAAGAAAAAAGGAAAATAAAAACACTGAAACCTTTCACCGAACGTTTGCGATTTCCTTTTCCAGTCCCACTTAAAAAGGGGGTGGAGAGTTTAGGGAGGGCACCTACTGCCTCCCAATCCAGCGACCGAAGGCCCGGGGTTGCCAGGGGCCACTTCGGAAGCTTGAAGAAGAGGTCTGGCAGCAAAGCGGAGCTCAGCTTTTTCCCCCAGGGGGCCTCTTGGCAGTGGGTGGATGCGTGGGTTGGGGCATGGGGACTCAGGTTCCAGAATCTCTCGCCTCCTCGACAGCGCACCGTGCCCCGCAGCGCTGGTTTCACTGGTGCCTGTGCTAGGCCCAGCCTGCAGCCCGTCACAACCGAGCTGTCGTTCCCCAAGGGGGTGACCCCGAGCAGAGGCCGCAACGAGAACCCAGGGAAGGAGCACCGCCTATATAGTGCACACTTAAACTCTGAGCTCGGCCCTGCCACAGCGGGAGGTTTCCCCTCGAGCGGGTCTCATTTGTACAATGAAGAGGTTGTACGAGTCATCTCTGGGGGACTTTTCCGCGTCAACATTTTGGGTTGGAGAGCACCTTACATCTCGTGCGCGAGAGGCTCAACAAACATTCACCCGCCCTCACTCGATCCTCCAAAATTTCCCCGAAGTCTCCTGGTTCCGGGCCGCAGGTGCAACGTACACCACCAGGAGGGACAAGCCCCATCCCAAAACCCTTCTCCCAATTCTGTCGTCCGTGAAATCACCTCGCCGTCCTTCCTGACGCTCTTCAGACGGCGTAGACACGGACGGCGTCAGTTTCACAGAAGAGCTCAACCCAGGTTTTAAAATAAGATGCAGTCGACTGAGGAAGGCAAACCTCTGCCCACCCATTGCCCTCCCCTCTCTTAAATACGCCAAAATTCGAAGCCGAGGAGATTGCCTCAAATTTGCAGACTAGGAGAACCTAAAAAAACTGACAGTTTGCTCAGTGGCAGGACTAAAGGTGTGTGTGCGAGCGCTCAGGGCCGGGGGGGGGGGGGGGGGGGGGGGGGGGGGGTGTTGCGCGGGGGGGCGGGGGGGGGGGGGGGGGGGGGGGCGGATTTGGGGATTTGTCCCGAGGCCATGATTGGGTCCCAAGACCTGGGTTTTAACTTAGATGGTATGTTTGGGATGGTTGGAGGCCGGGATTGTTCGCTGGTGGAACCAACAGGCACCGTCGCCCCCCCTGATTGGGCACCTGCACCTACACAGCTGGACAGGAGGAGTCCAGCCCTAAAGGGGAATATCGGGGGACCAGCCCCGAAAGCCACGGACTTTCCAAGGCACTTTCTTTATTTAATAAGCTCAATAACCACGGTAAGGGAAAGCGCGAGTGTGAGATGAAGTTCATCTTCAAAGCTTCCCACGCCCTCTCCTCTCCTCCCACCCGAGCTTTGTTTTGCTCGGCCCTCGAGTGTCCCGCGGGGCTGGGAGAGCCGTTTCCAAGGAAAAAGAAATCTTTGAAGTTATCCAAAATGAGAGGGGAGGGATCGGCGAGAGCTCAGGTGCAGTCGGGTCTACAGGAGTTGTAAATGAGTTAACAAGGAGATACACAGGGGGCCAGGGATAGGGATGCCCCGACTGGCGGGCTGGTGGGAGTGGAGGGTGCTGGAGCGCGGAGACGCGGCGTCGGAAGAGATCTCACTTCTCCGCCTTCCGAGAGGCTGGCCCAGGCACTCGGGCGAGCGCTGCAGGCAGCCCCTGCCAAGGTCAGGGCCGCGGCTTCAGCTCCCTGTGGTGCCAGCTTCCGAGGGTCTCCCGCTTGGCCCCTGCAAAGCCCCGCAGTCTCGCGCACATTCCCATGGGATGGCCCCTCCGAACAGCCGGACTACACCTGCTGCACGAGGCGCTGCCGCTGGGAGGTTTTGCGCAGGAGCCTCCTGTAGTCGTAGGGGTTGGCTGCGGAGTCGCTTTCCTCCTGCTCCTGGTTCTCCTCCGCCCAGCACCTGCAGCGAGACCCAGGGCCCGAGAGTGAGCGGCGCCCGCGCCGCCCCGCCCACCCAGTTAGGCGATTCCGCTCCTCCCACCTCCGACCAACTGCAGGCAGTTAAGAGCCACACATTCAAAACATCAGGATAGTGGCCAAACGCAGCTGCATAATTTTCTCAGCAGGTTTTAACACCGTAATTTTTTTTTTAAACACATTTTGGTCAAGCAGGAAAATTCAAAGTGCCTAAATAGACAACCATCGTTTTGCATTTTAAAACTGCTCAAATGTTTCTCCGAAGCCCTCCTCCCAAATCTGATCAACCACTGTTAGCTCTGGGCCCTTTGAGCTATTTCAAGGAGGCTGTTGGGCCACCTTTCCCGAACCTACCGCTGGGAAAGTCTACCAACTTTACCTTTAGATTCTGCAACTTGCCTGGGGAAGAAAGATGCTCCCTTATGCAGCTACATAGATGCATTCATTTACTTATGTGGTACCTACTAAGTATTAGCCATCAGTGTAGGCTAAAGGTGAACAAAAGTCCCCA